CAAAACCCCAAAACCCCAAAACCCCATTGAGTAGATTATAGAGCAAAGTGTGAATTAGATAATTAAATAATGAAACAATCAAAGTCAACAACTACAAGCAAAGTAAAATAAAATATCAACTAAAAATTCAACTAAATGGAGAGTTCAATTCGATTTAAGCGAAACCAATCAAATGAAAACTAGTTCAATGCATCATGATTAGAAACGAGGCCAAGCATATTTGATATTACGAGACCATCGACATCAATGAACAACTTTAGTGGGGGGTTCATTAATCAATTAACTAAGTCTGTCTAATAAACATCAGCTACTAGAACAGGATCAACAGAAAAAGCTAAAAGAGTGAGGAGACAGCATAGTTATATAAATTCAAATCAAGAAAAGATGAATACTTTTGAACCATCAATTACACAGGACTTTATAAATTGAAAATCGTCTGAGAATATATCAAACTATCGAGATACGTCAATGCTTGCCAATTAAACCTATTTTAAGAAAAAGTTCAACCTTAACTATAGCAAAATTCAGGCATTAAATCCAACAATTCAGGATTAAGAAAAAGAAGAATATATCAGAACTTAATTAAAAGAAGCAATAAGATCAATGATTTTAGGAATTGAAAGTAAAACAAGACCTGATTTTAATGATAAAGGTGAAGATTTGACAGAAATATAAAGGAATCAGGATGAGGAAGAGCAGAGTGAGGACCAAATTGACCTAGTTGAGTTAGGCGATGCAATATAGAGGACAGGATAAAAGCACTCTAGTCATTTAGCTAAGAGAAGAGAACTATATTTAAACGAGAAAAGAAAAAAAGCAGAGGAGGAAAAATTGGATGAATTAGAAAGATAAAGAATGCTTGAGATCAAGGCTATTAGTGCACAGAATATCACATTAAATTTCATTTAGGCCTTAGACCTTCAGAAAGATATACCTTTCAATGATTCAGAGGAGTTAGTTGCAAAAGTAAAGGCTTCTTAGGAACACATTTTTAAAACTAAGCTTAAGCCCCTTCAGCAAACTAAATCATTTGAAGTCATAAGGAAATAAATTGAAAAGAAAATTGATGGAGGTTATACTTACTAAGACCTAGGTGGAGAATACAAAATGCAAAAACGATTCAGAAAGTACATGGAGAATTTATCAGAATAAATTTAACTTACTGGTGGGACAATCAAGACTCCAAATAAAGAAAATTTATTTAATAGAGAACAGTCTAGTACTTTGAGATAATCAACATTAAACAGTCCTACATCATTTAAGAAATAGCTACTAGCTATTGAAGCAGATGACACTACATCTTTTGATGATCAGTCCAGGATTGAAACTGAGTCATATTAGAAAAGAATATCACAAGCTAGAAATTATAATTAGACTTTGGAACCCAGATAGACAGCAGTTACACAGAGAGTACCCAGAAGAATTAATCAAAGCTAAGTAATGAATCAGACAATTCAGCCTAGAAAAACTCAAGTATCAATAATCACAAATTCTCCAACTAGAAGTGTCATTAATGACACGAGAAGTAATATGGATATGAAAAGTTAAAAATCCAACTGGAAGTATTAGTTTAAATTACGAAAATAGATAGGCTATGATCAATATAGAGCCTTAATTGATTAGAGAAACTCAGTAATTACAGAGGAATAGCTAAAATCAGATGACACCTCAAATATGTCAGAGTCATTTAATATCTCAAGCGACCCTAGTTCATGTTTAGCAATAACACCATCATAATAGAAGAGGGCAAAGAAAATATAACTTAACTTTAACAATAAAGTAGATTTGAATGAGTCAAGCAAAGTACCAAATATTATTGTGAGAGAAAATACAACATTAGATGAATTCACAAAAAGACAAACTGAAAATGCACTTATGAGAATGAGAAGATAAACTACCATCAATAAGACTAATTTTGATATCCAGTAGTAGATTCAAAAGAGAGAGTCATTAGCGCAACAGCCCTCTTTCAATCAGAAAAGATCAAGCTCAGTAATGATAAACAAGAAGAAGATGAATTAAAATAGGACACTAGAGTATTAGTAGTTAGATAGAATGCTTGAGATTCATGATGATGTTACTGAAAGTGCTTCAATTTTTAAGCTCAATAAGAACTTCAAGCAAAGATAGAGTATAGTAAGGTTTAAAGATGGGGACTTAAGCATGCTTGGTTTTTCTTAGAACAGAGTGGCATCTTCTTAGTTCAAAAGAAGAAACACCATAGATTCAATTTCAGCATATGATTATAAACATAGACTGAGAACAGGACAAATGTCGAATGTGGATCATAAAATATGCAATTTAATGGAGACTTGCAGTTCAAGCCAGCCTTAGTATACCAAAAGAGAAATCTATGAACAATAAAAAGAGTAAGTTAATTGTGCTAATATATCTATAGGTTATCCGAATTGAATACTATAAATAAGCATCTAGGAGAAGTGATAGACAGGTATATAGATTAAGTTAATATTTATTCTACGAAGCCTAATAAAATCAATTAATCGCTTGATTTAAGTAGAAATTATTAAAGAGATTATCAATTTTCACCTGATATTTTACTAGAAGATATTTTGCAGGAATATGTTTACAAAAATAAAAGCGATTATGACAATTTCATGAATCCATCAGTTATATAGAGATATGTAGATTAGAATAGAAACTGCACATTATATGTGTCATAAATGAAAAAGAAAATTTGGTAGCCAGATAAATTTAGACTGCCTAGAAAATAGAAACACGATTTTAAATCTTGAATAATGCTATTGATACTTTATAATATTTTTTTTCATTTGAACACTGAAAACAAATATTGAATTAAGGGGTTTTGGGGTTTTGGGG